CCTTCACAACTAGACTGAAGAACAAAAGGACAGCAACTTGTCTGTTCCCCTTCCCCCAATTCCCCAGCACTGTGCCCATCCCCCCAATTCCCCAATAAAAATCTTTAAAAAAAAAGACAATAATAAAGGTAATTCTGTTATAACTACAGGCTCTTTCTTCTTAGCTTTTTATTTCTTTTAGCATTCACCCACCAACCCTGTCTGCCATATCTTTGAATGACACAGAAAGAGAACACCTCATTTTATTCTGAATAACTTAACAAAATTTTCAGCTAACATAATGGTGGCTCCATGCTCAGTTATAGAATAAGTGCATGTATTTAATGTCAGTAGGCTCCCTCTGCACTTCAAAGCATTCTGAAATCTCAATTCTAGGGTTTCTTATAGTTTCATAAGATTGCTGAGTTTAAAGAGGGCTTTTAGCACCCAGTCCTCTTTAACCCTGCTACCTTTAATTTAAAGATATAAAACTGAGGTCCAATGTGATAAAATGCAGTTGTTTTCAAAGTTTTTGTTTTTTAAGACAAGAGCAGAAAACTTCTTTAAGCAAAAATTCCATTTGGAAGTCCAATATATAAAACAGAAGTAGAGCTGCTCCAGTTGTTGAGAGGAGGAAAGGAGAAATGGAGATAAAATCCCGCTGCTTGTTCAGAAATCTTGGGAGGAAGCTCCTCAGAAGCCCTAAGGCTCCAAGGTAGGTTCGAAAAATCACTGGTCGAATAGAAAGAGCACAGACTCTGGAGTCAGCTAGATCTAGGTGAGTAATGCAACGCCATTACAAACTGGATATGTGATTTCAAACTAGCTAGTTTAAGCCATGAGAATCTTGGTTCTCTTATTAATCAAATGGGGTTAATACCTGCCCCAATGCACTGCTGAGGATCAAATGTAAAGTGTTTAACACAGGCAGAATATATAGTAGGTAAAGGTAGGTTCCTTTCCCTCAGTGATTCGTGATAGGTCTTGTAGATAAGCACTAAATAGAGCAGGGACTAGAATAGGTCTTGATTCCAAACTTTAATACAGCAAAAGGGCTCATAAATAATCTGGGCGTTTCTTTCTTTTTTTTTTTTTTAAGCTGAGCCATCCTGCCACCTGTTGGCGGCTCAGCGGCAGCTCAGTTCGGGCCGGACTCGAACCGCTGTTGCTCAGAGCTCAAACCCTTGAGCGAGCTCTTAACCAACTGAGCCACTCGGCCGGCCCTTGGGCATTTCTTAGAATATTTATGATCCAAATAAACCCTGGCTATATGATATGGTTTCTGAATTCACAAGACATCTCTCATCAAAAATGTTAACAATTTCAAATCTAAGTGTATAGTCATTAAAAGCTAAATATCACTGAGCAAATTCAGCTTTATACTACATTTGGCTTTGGCTTAAGGGAATAAATATCTTTTCCTCAACCCCATCAGAATACTGTTATTAGCACATGACTTTAGACTGCCTTTGTCAGCCATTACTAGGATAAACAAGGCACCAGCGGACTCAAGCCACTCTTTCGGGGGTGCAGCAGCCTTTTGTCCTCATTTCCTTAGTGTCTATGATACCATTAAGGACAGTATGGTTCTCCAGCTGGTTCTATCAAAATATGGAAACTTGTTCTTTAAAATAAACATATTTCCAGCATAGAACAGAGGTCTATACAAAAGCTTAAAATGTGTTCTCTTCAAATATTGCAAAGAAGTTAAAACTCAGACAATAATCTAAAATATTTAATAAATGGGGCCGGCCGAGTGGCGTGATGGTTAAGAACTCATTTGGGATGCCAGAGGGCCCCAGTTCGGATCCCACATATGAGGGCCAGTGACACTGCCCTCTACAGCTAAGATGCTGAACAACAGCTCAACCTGGANAAAAAAAAAAAAGAAATCCTTTTCTCTACTATAGTGTCGGTAATATGATGCCTATCGTTATTTAGTGTTATAATCCGAATACCTAATACAAGCCTCACACATACAGATTAACATTTACTGAATGAAATGTTGACTAGTGAAATGAAAAATAGCCTCAGGTTTGATTTTCTTGAGAAGTTTGGTTATTACAGATACTTACCGATTTATCTTTTAAGTTTAATTGTCCAATCAACTTTCTATCATCTGCAGGATCTATCAGTTCACCGCCCACAAAGAGCTCAATTTTTGTATGGGCTACATTGGCTTTAATACGATTGAGAATACATCGTCGTACTGAACCGATTGTATCATTTGTATGAGACCATACATCCAAGTCATCAACCTGTCTGCCCTGGTTTGGAAATCGAACTATAAAAGAGAGGTGTTTCCCACGGAAAGCTCTGGGGGGGGGGGAACAAAAGGGAAAACATCATCACATTCAGCAAACTTCCAAATCTTCTTGCAAAGAAAATGAAGCTAAAAATCTAATATCAAATATTTTTTTTATTAAATAAGAGAAAGTAAGTTAAGGATACATATTTTTAGAATCTTGAAAATAAAAAATTTATTGCTCCTTTAAACTATAAATATTGTAAGTTATCTTCAAAACTCAGCAATCATATTCCATTGTTGTTACTCTTGTACAAAATGGGGTGTCTAGTTATAAGAAATTAACAGAGAAATGAGTGACACTTCACTTATTCTTAATCCTATAAAAGCTCAACTCATTTTTAAATGTAGAAGAGAACTATCTTGAGAGTATCAACAAAAATGCTAATGATGTCCATTTTTTTCCTGAAAAATTCTTCGTATCACAATTCACTATCCAAAATGATATTTATGTTGGCATATTATCTTCTTGCAGGTTAAGATACAAAAAATAAAAACCATACTTAAAAAACGATTTTAAATAATTTCATGGTTAACAAAGAGAACACTTTTACAAAGAGGTTTTTTTTTAACATAAATACTGATGGCACTCATTCTATAAATATTTCAAAATTATAAAACTATTTGAATTACTAAATGGCAAGACCTTAAGAGAACTGCCTACTGACCATTTGAAAATATTTCTTGCTATACTGGCTATCTGCCAAAGCAGCTTTTAAGAGTTCTTTCCAATTACTCTACAATCTGACTATGCTATTATTTTGAACAGTGTAAATGAGTGGCATCAAAATACATCAACTGCAAAATATTCCTGCAACACATACTGGGCAAGAAAGTCAATGGCAAAAAAGAGAGGAAACATGATTTAGCGATTGAAAATGTCCTACCAAAAAATCAAAAACAAAAACCAGATCTTGGAAAATAAAAAAAGGTCTGCTACTAAAAAAAGATTCTATCAATATATGCAAATAATGTTTTTAATGGTATTTTAAAAGATAACCAACATTTTCAAGAATGAAAAATTTCCTCAATCTCCTTTTTTCTGTACATCACTTTTAAAAAATCAGACAGCTAGGAAAATACCCAATAATTAAGAAGTTGCACTAGCACTGTACACCTGAAGCTGTATAATATTGTATGTCAACTGTAATTGAATATATATAGTCATGGGACGTGGAGTATAGTGTGGGAGTGGAGTCAAGGGAATTGTAATAGATATGTATGATATTGGGAAGGGGAAGTGGGGTGG